TCTTGTTTAGGAGTCACATGTCCTACATTAAGAACTCTGGATGTAAGAATTCTCACAAGTCACGACTTTGTACTTTAAAAAACGTGCCTAGTTGAGAAGAGAAATGTGAGTGTTGTATATAAACTATCATTAATCTCGATTTCAAAAAAAAAGTGAGACTATTTCACCCAATTCACACCTTATTGCAAAGCATGAAGACTTTATTTTGGCTTTATATATAGAGGTTTAGTATGATAGTATAAGTATTTCAATCACCATCCTAGATCTAATGTGCTCAAGATTTTTGAAGACGTATTTAATTACCATTGTAGTAATTTTTCCATTCAATCATGAAATATGTTAGAGATTCTTGAAAATTGTCTATGTTTGATAATACCTAATCTAACCATATACTCTTTTATACATTGGGAAATATAATTTATATTTTTTAACTATATTTTAAGTAGGCTTAAACTACGTACAAAAGTAAAGAGATTAACATTACGTGTAAAAGTAATTTTATAGAGACTAAACCTCGATTTTTTTATAAGGAATAAAAGTCATTTTTTTATATTTAACTTTTTTAAATATAATTAAATTTTACTTTTTCTTTTTGTATATTTAGTCATTGATGTATATAATACATATATAAATTTCATATATTAATGATCAAATTGTTAACACAGAAAAACAATTTTGTTCTGCGTTGTCTTATTAGAAACTGAAAATGCCAAGTTTATAGACTTAGCAATACAACTGACTGCCTAGAAATTAGGAAACTGACTCACACACTAACAACACATCCTAAATGTGTGCAAGATAATAGGAATTAAATAGGAAACTGACTCACACACTAACAGCACATCCTAAATGTGTGCAAGATAATAGGAATTAAATGTAACTAACAATTAATTAAAAACAAATAATAGAAATAATTCTATACTTAAAACTGACTTATTCAACAATTCCTCCCTTAAACTGCATGCTCCTTGCAACAGTTTATCTCAGACTCGTCAAGCATTCCTAGAGCACTTAACAAATGTTAGAATTCTTCAACTTTAAGTGACTTCGTCATGATGTTTGCTAACTGATCTCTTGTACTGCAATAATTCAGCTCAATAACACCGTCATTACATAAATTTCTCAAAAAATGAAACTGAACATCAATATGTTTACTTCTTCCATGCAAAACTGGATTTTTGGATAATTTAATTGTTGAGATATTATCACAAAAAACCACAGTAGCTTCTTCTTGACAATGACTTAGATGTTCCAAAATTCTTCTCAGCCAAACACATTGGCAAGCACATAATGCGGCTGCTATAAACTCTGCTTCTGTTGTGGATAAGCTAACAACCGGCTGTTTCTTTGACACCCAAGAAATCACACCACCTCCTAGTAAGAAGGCATAACCCGAAGTGCTCTTCCTATCATCAAGGTCTCCTGCATAATCACTGTCAGTATAGGCAATTAACTCTTTATTTCCTCCAGCCTTATAGAAAATTCCTAGATTTTGGGTGCCTTGTAGATATCTCAAAATTCGCTTTGCTGCCATGAAATGACTCTCCTTTGGCTCTTCCATGAAACGACTTATCAAACTGACAGAATATGCAATATCTAGTCTTGTAGTTGTAAGGTACATAAGACTTCCCACAAGTTGTTTAAATAGAGTCGTATCGACCTTCACTCCTTTGTCTTCTTTTAATAACTTGCAGCCTGGAACTATAGGACTCTTCACGGGATTACAATCAGACATGTTAAATTTGTTTAATATATCCTTAATATATTTCTTTTGCCCAACAAAGATACCATTGCAACCTTGCAAAACTTCAATGCCCAAAAAATATCTCATCTTGCCTAAGTCAGTCATTGCAAATTCTTTCATCATCATAATTTTGAACTCTTGAAACATCGACGTATCATTACCGGTATATATAAGATCATCTACATAAACACACACAATTAAAATTTCACCTTTCTCTTTCTTCTTCATAAATAAAGTGTGTTCATGTGGACATTTCAAAAAATCATTTGCTGCAAGATGAGATTCCAGCTTGCTGTACCAGGCTCTAGGAGCCTGCTTAAGGCCATACAATGCCTTCTTAAGCTTGTATACTTTATGCTCACATCCTTGAAATACATAACCTGTCGGCTGCTCTAGGTAGACGTTTTCGTTGATTGCTCCATGTAAGAAAGCTGATTTAATATCAAGTTGATGAATACCCCACCTTTTTGTAGCTGCCAATGCAACAACAGTCCTGATGGTTTCAAGACGAGCAACCGGCACAAAGATCTCACTATAATCTATGCCTTCCTCTTGAGTGTAACCTTTTGCCACAAGTCTAGCCTTGAATTTGTCAATCTCCCCTGTCTCCTTCAGCTTAGTTTTGAAAATCCACTTGACTCCTACAACTTTGCAATTTGGTGGTGGATCAATTAGCTCCCATGTATCATTCCTTTGAATTGCTTGAATTTCAGCATCCATTGCATCCCTCCAATGCTAAATTTTTTATGCTTGTTTATATGTAACTGGATCTGAACCTGCAAACATGGCAAAATTCATTGCATCTTCCTCAGTTAAATCATCACCAGTGACATAATCTTTCATCCATATTGGTGGTCTTCTAGTCCTCCCTTCAGGTGAATTTTCTGAAGCTCTTGAAATGGTGGAATCCAACATATTTGAGGGTGAGTTTGGAGCTGCATCACTTGTAGTTGTTGCTGTATCATTAGATTTTTTTTGGATTATCTCATCATCTTCTTGACTAGATTCTTCCAAAGGATTCAACTCATTTGTATCAATTGTTATGCCTGTTTTTGCGTCACCCCAATCCCAGGCAGCACCCTCTTGAAATTTAACATCTCTGCTGATCTAAATTTTCTTCTTGATTGGATCATAAAGTTTGTAGGCCTTAGACTCCTCACTTACACCCAACAACACACATTTGATACTTTTATCATCAAGTTTGCTTCTTTTCTGATCAGGTACATGAACATATCCAATGCTACCAAAGATTCTAAAATATGACACAGATGGCTTAATTTTGCTTCATGCTTCCTCTGGTGTGACGTTCTTGACAGCAAGAGTTAGGCTTCTGTTTAAAATATGAATCACCCATTTTACAGCTTCTGGCCAAAATGATCTGGGGACTCCTTTTTCCACCAAAATGCTGCGAACCATATTTATAATAGTTTGATTTTTTTCTCTCAGCTACGCCATTTTGTTGTGGCGTGTATGAAGCAGTGAGTTGCCTTTCAATACCATGTTTACTGCAAAATTCAGCAAACTCCTTAGAAAGATACTCTCCCCCTCTATCGGTACACAAAATTTGAATGGGAGCACCAACTTGTTTTTCAACTAGTGCTTTAAACTCTTTAAATACACCAAAAGTTTCACCTTTCTCCATAAGAAAATATGCCCATACTTTCCTACTTAAGTCATCAATGAAAGTGAGTATGTACCTTTTATTTCCATTGGATGTTGGATTGATAGGACCACAAATATCAGAGTGAATTAACTGCAGCAACTGAGATGCTCGCCAATTACTTTGTCGTGGAAAAGGATCTCGTTGATGTTTCCCTTTGAGGCAATGTTCACAAAGTTGAGATGTTGGTTTGAAGGAAGGCAGCCCTTTCACCATATCGTGCTCCATTAAGGTTTTTAGTCCACTGTAGCTCAAGTGACCATAATGAGAGTGTCATACTCGAGCTGGTGGCGTAGAACTGGCCTGAAAACAGGATTGGGAGACTCCGGATTTTACACTAATAGCAAACATACGATTAGTAGTCATGAAGGTTTCAAAAATAAGGCCATTTTCTTTAAACACTCTGCACTTGTTTTGCTTCATTTCAACCGTTAACCCTCTTTCCAGAAGTTTCCCCACGCTAAATAAATTATTTTTTAGCTCTGGCACATAAAATACATCATTTAAGAAATGCACGACTCCGTTTATCAAAAGTTTAACCATACCTTTTCCACCGACCTTTAGAGCATAGTTATTCCCTAATTTCACTTCATTTGAAAAACTTTCATCAGTGGAGGAGAACCAATCCTTTCTTCCTGTCATGTGGTTGCTACATCCTGAATCGATGAACCACATGTCTTGTGTATTTGATTTTCCATCTGATAAAAGTTGTGCCATGAGTAACACTGCTTCCTCATTGGTCTCAGCATAATTTGCAATGTTGTCCTGTGGTTTCTTTGGGCATTCATACTGAAAATGTCCAAACTCATGACAGTAATAACATTCCACTGCAGCCTTATCTACTCGTTGTCTACCTCCTCTGCCTCTTCCTCGAGCAAATCCACTCCGAAAGCCACCTCTTCCACGGCCACGACCACTATTTATCTCATCTTGAGTTACTTTCAACACTTGCTCTTCATGTGAATTATGCCCATTCATTCGTTGTTCGTGTACCAACATACTGCTTTGGAGTTCATCTACAGTCATGGAATCCAAAACATGAGATTCTTCGATATAACACACTACATAATCATACCTCGAGGTCATTGAGCGAAGAATCTTTTCGACAACGGTAAGATCTAACATTTGTTCACCGTACATTCGCATCTTATTTGCAATAGTGAGAGTTCGAGCAAAATAGTCATTAACTGATTCTCCATTCTTCATCTGTAAAATCTCCCTTTCGCGTCGTAGGGCTTGAAGTTGTGCTCGCTTCACTCTAGCAGTGCCTTGGTATTTCTGTTTTAAGGAATCCCATATCTCTTTCGATGTCTCCTTCTTTAAAGTTGTTTCAAGCACATATCGATCAATTGCTTGAAAGAGGTAATTCTTTACCTTCAAATCTTTTAGTTTAAGCTCGTTCACTGTTTTCTTCTCGTTCTCCGTTAATACAGCACCATCAGCATGTTGAGGAATCCCTGGATCAATAAGATTCCAATACTCCTTTGACCTTAAAAAGTTCTCCATCAGCATTACCCAATGATCATAATGCTCGCTCAATTTTGGAATCGCAGGTTGCACGAAGTTGCCATCCGTGGTTGCTGCCATGATTGAAGTCTACTGCTTCTCTTTTCTTGCTACAAACCTAGCTCTGATGCCAGATGTTAACACAGAAAAACAGTTATGTTCTGCGTTGTCTTATTAGAAACTGAAAATGTCAAATTTATAGACTTAGCAATACAACTGACTGCCTAGAAATTAGGAAACTGACTCACACACTAACAGCACATCCTAAATGTGTGTAAGATAATAGGAATTAAATAGGAAACTGACTCACACACTAACAGCACATCCTAAATGTATGCAAGATAATAGGAATTAAATGTAACTAACAATTAATAGAAATAATTCTATACTTAAAACTGACTTATTCAACCGGTTTTATATGATTTTGTAGGTAGATATGAAGTTGAAGGAAACAACTATAAGGCTGGAGCAACGATTGGCACAAGAACAAGAAGCAAGACTAGATGCAGAAAAGAGATCAAATGATGAAATTGAAAAACTTAGAAAAGATCTTGAGCAAGCACACGCAGAACTAGGCAGGCGAGCAGCAAAATTTAGGTGTCCCATTCTATGATAGCACAGCCACTTCTAACTTGCAAAGATGCAAAGAGTTCATTTAATTTTTCTTCTGGATTCTTATTACTTATTATTATTACTTTGTGTTGACTTGATTTATTATGAGATTAGACTTTTTTTTTTTTAATTTGGCTTTAATTCCTCTAGGAGTGTTAAACCTCTCCTATCAGCAACTAAAATACTAGTTAAAATAGTTGATAGTGAGTCGAAAATAATCATTTTCTTCTTTATCTCACATTTAAGATTGGCTAACGCATTTGTGCACTTATTAGATTAGTAATACTCATGCTCAACTCTAATCATATTAAGCATATTCATTAATTTGTTTACAAAATATAATAAGAATGGAAAAAAGAAAAAACAAAATTGATTAATCAAAATAATTTTTTATTTTTTATTTATATTTGGATCATAAATATAATATTTTCATATATACAAATATTTGGATCAATCCAATATTTTCAAAATATTATTTTGTTTTGACATTATTTATAAAAATATTTTGATCAATAAAAAAATTATTTTCATTTACAAAATAAATATTAAGATATACTCATTAATTTAAAAATATTTTAAATTAGTTTGTAAGAGAACATAATAGAAAATAATAAAATTTATTAAAATTTTATTGCATTTTATTTTTGTGTTGTCAAATAATTAAAAAATGATCAATAAATTTTATTTTTTCAAGTTTTATTGCATTTTATTTCCCCGTTGCCAAATAATTATTTGAATTTATAAAAAATTTCATTAATAAAATAGTTCAACAGATTTTATTTTTTCAATATAATTTCCATATTATAAAAAAAAAAAATTTATTACAACTTTATTGCATTTTATTTCCCCATTGCCAAATAGTTAAGTTCTCATCATTATCAATAAAATGATTGCATACAAAATGCCGCAATTGATTTTTATGAATAAAATTATTGCATTCTAATAAATATTTATCACATGTATGATTATAAAATAAATTATAATTAAAGGAATTCATATGTTCATAATTTGTTTATGGACCTATGATAAATATTAATTTTTAGTTAATTAGGTGATAGAGAACTATTTTTGAATAATTGACCAATAAAAATATTAAAATTTATTTAAGATTTATTAAAAGTACTGTTTTTTTTAAGATTTATAATTGACCAATAAAAACTATTTTAAAATACTTGACATTTAAGATAAATTAATGAAAGATTCATTATTTAGTACCTAAAAGAATGACAATTGTATGGCCCTATGGTGCGAAAGAACTTGCTATGTATAAACTCACCGATCAGCCCTGCAACATTTTCTACAAAACCTCACCAGCACCATAATCAATTAAATCTCAGCTAGTTACACAACACCAGAAGTAATGGTTTCACCGCATATTGAACAATAAATCCAATAGAAAGTGGTAAAGGCCTGCAACAGAATCACTATTTTCTTGTTAAAAATCACTACCAATGGAATCATATTGAGCATACCTTCACAATCGCGTAACGATTGTTTCAACTTGAACTTTACAAAACTGTGTGATCCACATAACTCGATTTTGGTTGTGAATTTTGGCTGCAGTTCAATTTTTGATGGATACAATATTTGCTGAAGATTTGTGTTGATGTCCTCTAATGTGGTAAGCTTTTGTACATCATGAGAGCCTTGATCCGACAGGCATTGTTAATGCAGATTAGATTAAGATAATTTGCATTGAAATCCTCTAATGTCCCTGTTTCCATGAAGCTGCCTATAGGAAAAACCATAAGCAGCTGATGTTATTCCCGTCTAGATGACACCATGCTCATAGGAAGCTGATGTTATTCCCGTCTAGATGACACCATGCTCATAGGAAGCTGATGTTATTCACCTCTAGATGACACCATGCTCATACTATGCTTTCCTACAGTCCTGAGGTGGGTTGTAAATGTAGAGTAATACTAGTATCTATTGAGATGAAAATAGGAGGTTATTTTAGTTGCCTGCTAGACACAACACATGTATCTGCTCTTTTGAACTAGTGTTGATGTTATGGATCATGAGCATAACATCAACACTAGTAGTACTCTACATTCCTTGGTTTCTACACTTTTAAAGCTTTGAAATAGCATGTGCAGGCAAATTTTTGAACCCGTTGGGAAGCTCCAAATCTTTCCACCCTTCAGCATCATCAAGCTTAGAGAAGTAACTGTCGACGTCGCCGTCACTCACAAGCTCCAATTTGGAAGGTTCCCACTGATAAAGAAGACACAGTCAATCAACATGAGAACCAAAGAAATACCATTTCAATAATACTAACTACTTTATGTCTATAGTTATTTATGGCTTCCCACCTTTGGCTTCCTATCTTTGTCTATCAGTATAGCTCTACAACCCTGCAGTTGACCATAAGTAACCATTTTGAGATGAGTATGGCAAGAAATCAACAAAATACATCTTTATGAATCATCAAAAAACCTCAAAGAAATCTTTGCTGTGGTGTCCTTGTAGGATATGACACACAATTCTATACTCTCGAACAAGGCATTCACCAACACCTACAAGCCTCACTTCTCTAATCTGAAAAAAGTCAATAAAAAACTATGAACCAGACACTAATAATAACGGTTAAAACCGACAATCTATACTATGCTTCCATAAAACATAACATTTAATACTCTCTGGTCACGTACCAATCTAAGAAAGACTTTAAGGCTAGTTGAAGATGATTTCTTCAAGGTTTCAAGAGTTGTAGAAATCCAACTGTCTGCCTTACTCGTAGCTTCGGTCTCCTAAATCACCGTATGGTTGCTAAATGTCAAAAGTGATAATGCTAAAGAATATATTCAATAAGATATTTTTTAATGGCGTAATAACTGAAAACATAACTTACAAGACAAGATAAAATTTCTTCCACTGTTTTCCTAGAGAAACACTTATTGATTAGATCCATCCTGCAATGAATGGCCACAATAAGCAAATACAAAGGAGAAAGGTAACTGACTAAGACTACAGTGATATGTTTCAATTATTTAAAAATAATAAAAACAAAAAAACAAAAGACGTGCTCCAAGTTCATAGAAATGTTTCAATTAGATTTTAGAGAGACACACCAACCTGTGATAAACACTACCCTCTTTTAGGGAAACCTGCTCTGAGTACTTATCAATAATTGCAGATACTACAGCTGGATCACTAGTTTCGACCTTGCATAATGATTCTTCCAACTACGATAGTTTCTGTGTATTCATTGCAAAAGGCAACCAAACAGACACAGATTAGAAACCCCAAATCAAGGAGCTTAAACATCATATAAATATCTTAGTCCTTAGAAAAGAATGTTTAGCATACCGATGAAGGGACAAAATGTGTTGCAAGACCACAAGCAAGCATTTCTGCACCATCCAACCTAGCACCTGTAAGACCAACATATTCACCTGCAATTTGTGTCCAAAGAAAGAAGGAGGAGACGAGAATGTTATTGTACTTTTTTTATAGGATGTTTTGCAAATTCTGAAAAGATGTTGGAATCACAATAAAAAAAAATTCAATTAAATGGGTATTTTATATACATAATCCAACCATACAAGAGAAAGTAAACAATCATGAAAATTCAAGAATCTAAGCATCTTCTCAAACCCACCCCCTGGTGCTCTGTGTGTGCACATGCCTGTGTGTGTAAAGTAGAAGATGCTAATTGACTGACAAAATCAGCTATGCACCAAAAATTACAGAAGATATCAGTGACAAAAACGATGAAAAGATTGAAAAGTTAAGTAATTTTAATATCAACTAAACCATTTAAGTTAAATTAAATCCATAGATATCTAAAATACAACTTCCATACCAAAAAATCCAGCTAATCTAGACAAGAAATATGCCGCGCCTACATCAGGAAATAGTCCCAAAGCTGTTTCTGGCATTGCAAAGACCTGAAAATGATCCACTAGTACATGAAGGTCATGAAGTACAAACATAAAAATTAAGTCAACGAATATCTGGATGCTAAATAGATAGGGACAGGCATATCTTTATAAGCCATTTCAAACCAACCTCTCTTTCGTATCACAGTTTTCTTTTTTGAATAGAAAACAAATTTCCAACAACAGTGAACAAGAAAAATCCAAAGAAATAATATTGTTAGAACTTGAATCTATGAAATAATTCTTTGATTTGGTTAGACCATCCAATGTATGTAGACAATGAAGCAATTACATGATAATAGTCTCAACAAAACGTACGGTATTCTCTGTAACGACACGAAATCTTCCATGCATAGAAGCACCTGCGCCACCTCCCATGACAATTCCATTAAGAATTGAAACCTGCAGATGTTTGAAAACAGATGTGGGGAAATCTGACGTGTTAGAGCCATGAGCGCAAATACAAAATAGAATAAGTGTTTGTACAATTATGAAGAGTTACCTGAGGCTTACTATATGTTACTTGCCATCAAATAATTCAATTTATATTCAGTTTCAAAAAACTTTGCACCAAACCTCCAATCACCTATTCCAAATGGAAACAAATAATTAGTTTTTCATTTTAGTTAAATACTACATTTGAAAACTCAAGCATTCGAATTTATATTCTCTCCTCACATAAGGAATTTAGAAACAGTGTGACATCTCATATTGAAATAGCTTCCCTCTTTAAATAAGATCGTAACAATTGTCCCAATTGGAGGGTACTACAAGGAGAGAGAATTAAATTTATCCAAAAATAAATTGTAAGGGGAATCAACCTCAAGGTGGAGGCTACGGAACTGACCACCAAAACTGAAGTCAGGGTCACCAGGGTAGAAATATGTGATTGCTAGCAAGATGAATAGAGGCAAGGTGTGCCTTCACATGCTACCACAAGGCACATGACTCTGATATGCAAGCAAAACTCGAGTGTATGTGGCAGCAGCTCAAGATGGATATGTTGATTGGATGAAGGCTGGCAGTTCGTCTAGTGAGGTTGTCAGATGATGTTTTGCTGGCAGTATAGGGTGATAAATGATTTGGTGTCCAGATACTATTACTAATTTGAATGCATCAAGCCATCAACAGAGTGTCGAGGTCAGCCACAATAAAGGTAGTTGATCCGCAGCTGCAATGAAGGTTGCCTAAGGATTTTGTAAAAGCATGGTCTTCCATATCAAGAGCTCAAATACCAACTTGAAATAAAAAGACTTGGAGCAAGAACTGAAAATTAACTATACTAGTTTCAAACATGGCCCTTTTCTTTATAGACCTAACTACTTCTGCCCTGCCTAAAACATAATCTCCTATGCATATGGTTACTAATCATCCTAATAACCGAATAATTTAATAAAATTACAATGAGAGATGGTTACAAATTTACAATAGCTCATAAGTGAAAAATTTAAATCAATGAAAGAATATAAAATAATATAATATCATATAATATAATATGATATTTAAGTCTAGTATGAAGCTCACAGAAATGCAATGAACATTGTAGTTATTTTATCTGATAAATTAAGTAATAAAAAGAGAACATACCTTCTGTTGCCTCATGAACAACAGCTGCAACATCACCACCAGCACAAAATGCCCTGCCATTCCCCTGATATAGGTAGCCAAAAGTTAGAAAATTGAGGTTCTCTTTGGTTTGAGTCTTTAATTTATTCATATTTCCTTTCTGACGTGTTGATTACTTTCAGCCATCAAGTACTAATTTGCTCTAGCGAGAAAATGTCAAGAACTAATTTAGCAGTTTATTCATTCTTATTCCAATTGTTGGCACTTTTTTCTCTCTCTATCACATGTAGGTAATAACAAAATGCAAAAAAAGTGTTCAGTATATGAAAATGACCTTGACGATAACCAATTTAACATCAGAATTTTCCTCGTCATCGTGAAATATTTCCAGTAGTTTAGATACCTATAACAGGAAAACAGAAGAAGGATATCAAGAGAAGTAAGAGAATGGATATAAAAAAAAAACGAGTTTTTTACATTAGGTCGCGCAAATGCCAGGAATTCAAGGGCTGGAACGCGAGGATATAATTCATATGACTGTATTGGTTAAAATTGAGAGAGTCCCCAAAAACGACGTCAATTTCAATGAAAAACGTGTAGTAAATGGAGTCAGGAGTGTTTTTGAAAATGTATTTCCGAATTTACTCTAGAAAGATAATTTCGAGTTTTCAAGGTCACACCATAAGGCCGAAAAAGAAATTGCCAAATATAATGTAAAGAGAATTTTAAAATATGTATATCAGCCATCTGAAAAACCTAAATTGGAAAGAAAAAAAAAAAACACCTAAAAGACCATATGATATTAGAAGGAGAAAAAACTTCCCAAACAATCCTTTCAAAACATTATGGAATCAAAAGTCTAATAACCCACATGATTTTCAAGTGCAACAATTACATGCACACTTTGCATACTTTGAAATAAGGGTGTAGTATTATCTAGTGACTAGTGTAGACTTAGTCTAGCCTTGAACTATGGCTTCCAACACTAAGTGTTATGCCAAAATTACACTAAATCTTTTGTTCCACTCCAACACGTGCCATCAATTTCTCAATGTGTATTTTCTCCTTCAACATGCTCTTGAACTCTAGCTTTCCAACCAATGCCTTCAGTGTACTCTGCATTGGAGTTAACCCCTTCAACACCATCTCCTCAAAGAATGCACAAGCCTCCACAAGTTTTCCACTCTTGCACAAACTAAGCACCAAAAGTGTATAAGTTCCCAAATCAGGGCTCAAATCATTTTTAAACATGTGATCCAACAAAAACTTAAGCACCTTCATCCTCTTCTTTTTGCAACACATCTTCAACAATGGATGATAAGTCCGAATATCCGGCTTGCACGACGATTCCTCCATTTCCTTAAGCAACCTAAGAGCAGTCTCTTCCTTCAAGTGCACACAAGCAGTAGTAATCATAGTATTGAATGTAACAACATCTCTCACAATACCTTGTTTAGGCATATCCTCAAACACATCACAAGCATCTTTTAACCTACCAACTTTCCCAAGAATGAAGATCAATGAGCTATAAAATGGAGTGTCAGCCACAATACCATCCTTCTTCATTCTTTCATATGCCTCCAAAGCTTTGCTCAATTGCCCCGCCTTACCATAGCCGAGCAACATAATAGTATAAGTCACAGCATTAGGAGAACAACCATTCTCCCTCATCTCCTCCAAAACTTGATCAACTTTGCGAAAATCCTTGTTGTGACAATAAGCTTCAATGAAATTGTTATACGAGAAAACATCCGGTTCAAACCCATGTTGCTTCCTCTCCTCCAAAACCTTCAGCGCATTCTCATATTTTCTAACTCTGCACCAACCATTTATCAAAATATTGAAAGAAGCCGAGCTCAATGGAATCGAATCCTTAAACTCAATAAGAACATTGTGAGCAAGTTCAACATTTTCTCCTTTCACCAAAGCATCCAAGAGCTTATTCAGTGCAATTCTATCCTTTTTGACGCCAAACTTGTCAATTCTGCGAAAAGCTTCAACAGCGTCTTCATGCTTACGACTCTTCGCATACCTCCTCATTACCTTAGTCATTGTATCCAATGTCACATACCCTTCAATCATTGACATTTCCTTCACTAACTCCCACATGAGATCAAACTCCTTGAACTTTCCCAATATGTCAACCATGAAATTGTAGTGTTCAGGAGAATGCACATAAGGTGTTTGTGTTTTTGCCCATTTGAAAAACCCAAAAGCTGGAACCCAGTCATTGTTAAACCTCTTCAAAATCTGCATAACCAAACTATTAGAAACGCAAAAACCGTGAACGTCGAGTGCCTGAGAAACTAACTCAGGGGAAGAGTAATGTTCTTTTAGAACATTGCTGATTGCTTCAACATGTTCAAGTTCCACGCTTTCCTGCAACGTTGGCTTCAGAAAGAGCTTGGGTTTGGTTTCAAGTATGTTGGAATCAACCCAATGAGCGAGAGAAGGGATAACGAAATCGTCGTCGGAGTTTGAGGGAGTTGGGTTGTCGGAGAACATGACCCATGGTGGGAGTTCAGGTGATTCGGGTTGAAGTTGTGAGTTAATAATGGTGCAGAGAGGGTTGGTGTGAACGAAGAAATGCGGTGCATTGGTACTGCGTGTGGTGGTGATTGATGGAGAAAGGCGTTGAGTGAAGCGGTGGAGGATTCGGAACTTGGAGAGCATTTTGGGGACACTGTTGAGGACTGATACAGTGGTTTGATTCGTGATCAAAACCTAAAATTCAACGCATACTCCTCCGTATTTATTTATAACCAAATTTTATATTTTAAATTTATTGAATAAATAATATATCTAATTTTATATATACATCAGATAAATTAATTATTCAATAAAATTAAAAACTAAATTTATTTATTAATCATTACATGAGTGTTTTCTCTGTAATGAATTACAAATAAATTTAAAATTTTTGATATATTTGATCATTAATATATGAAATTTATATATGTATTACATACATCAATGATTAAATATACAAAAAGAAAAAGTAAAATTTAATTATATTTAAAAAAGTTAAATATAAAAAAATGACTTTTATTCCTTATAAAAAAATCGAGGTTTAGTCTCTATAAAATTACTTTTACACGCAATGTTAATCTCTTTACTTTTGTACTCAGTTTAAGCCTACTTAAAATATAGTTAAAAAATATAAATTATATTTTCCAATGTATAAAAGAGTATATGGTTAGATTAGGTATTATCAAAGATAGACAATTTTCAAGAATCTCTAACATATTTCATGATTGAATGGAAAAATTACTACAATGGTAATTAAGTATGTCTTCAAAAATCTTGAGCACATTGGATCTAGGATGGTGATTGAAATACTTATACTTGATAGAATAGGCAATAATCATTATTAGTTTGAATTTATTATTGATTGTATATAAATGAGTATTATTTGGTGTTGACCATATATTATTAGTTACCATAGATATAGCCTTGAGATAAGCATTCTGTTATGGACTGACAGCAAGGAATGTTAGGTATTCCTGTATATATTGATTGAGCAAAGAATATAATTTTTGTCCCTTTCTATTCCATGATCAATCAATATTTACAAGAATACCTAACATTCCTTGCTGTCAGTCCATAACAGAATGTTTATCTCAAGGCTATATCTATGATAACTAATAATATATGGTCAACACCAAATAATACTCATTTATATACAATCATATACAATCAATAATAAATTCAAACTAATAATGATTATTGTCTATTCTATCAAAAATAACACCCACGCCCGCACTCGTTAGGTTTGGGTTTTTCCATCCAAACCTGAACTTGTAGCAAAAACACAAAAAATACAAGAAATTTGAAACACAAGAATTCCATTAAGGTCTCAAAGAAATTAAAGAATTAAATTACAACTTTATGTTAAGTTTGATAACATTACAATTAAAATTAAGGTTTTAAATTTTTACACTTATATATATTTAGAGGTACTTATGTAATTTAATGTCTAAGCGGGTGTGGTTTCGGATTTCGAGTGCGAATTTGAGTGAATCTAAATTCGCACCCGAAATAATAAATGGCACCCGAACCTGAATCCAGTCAACTCAGATTTCCACCTGTTGACTCGAATTCGGGTGCGGGTGAGTCCCACGAGTTTGGGTCTGCCTGTCATTCTTAAATAAGAAACATCATCCTAAAAATTCCAAATTTCTGATTTTTCTATTTTATTTAATTTATTTTTTATTTTCATACTTTTGAAAAAAATAGAAAAAAATTGTAGACTGTCAATATAAATTTATTTGACTTTTAGTTGTATATTCAATTTTTTATAATTTCATTTTCATCATTTTTTTTATTTTTTTATTTACATATTTGTTGTCCATAAAAAATAATTTTAGTAATCTGAAATAACATAATAATATAATTATCTATATAACTAATATTCTTAAATGTCACATTGGTTTTTATCATAGTATCCAATTCACTAAACCGTCAAATTTGATTCAGAAATTAATTATATCATTAAGTAATTTCAATCTCCTCTCAATCGCAACCGTGAGAGATTAAACTATAATTTTTTCTATTAAATTCAACATCAATCACTATTGAATTAAATAACGATTGACTTAAATGTGTACAAATCTTCAAAAAAAAATAGTTAATTAATTTTATGTATCATTTGCTAAAATAATTTTATAATTAGTAAAATTAATGAAATTTAAAATAAAAACATATCAATAAAAAATATTTAAAAAATGTTACAATAACATTCTAAAGTGGTAATCATTTTAAAATAGAAAAAACTTTAAATATGAGAATTTTGAGACAGAAAAGTAAATATCATGTGATTTTATATAATGAATCCATTGATTTAGTATAGACCTAGGGATATTAATAGAGCAGAAAATATTTAGAGGATGTTTCACTATTGCCGCTCCGCTCTCAAAATTTTCCCTATCCTCATCCCTGATTCTCGTCATGGGGAAATATTTTTCCCCATTTTTACGGAGATCGAATCTTAAAAAATTTCTCTATTTTTTGATCAAAAGTATATACATTTTACATCTTTCCATTTATAGAAGTAAAAAAAGACATTTTGCATCAATAACAACAAAAAATGCAAAAGCACTTGTTGCTAAATTTTTTTCTATAAAAAATAAATTCAACTGAACTTGTTGCTACAATACACACCACAATACAAAAGCAAGAAAAAAAACAATAACCCTATTTAATATTTATCTTCATCTATTCTAAGAAAACTCTTCCGCTAATTTGTTGCCACTGTACCATTATCGTCCAACGCAAGCGATTGATCTAAAGCAAGTGATTGATTACGTATGAGTGTGGCAAATCCATGGATATTAGCTTCATTCACACTTATCACGAAAAACATAACCACTAATTTATTAATTGAATGAAAAACATGTTACTAGTGAAAGTAAAATGAATTTAAAGAGTAATTACCAAATACAATGAACAAAGAAGAGTGGTTGTTGTGATGATGAGAACATAAGAGATGATGAATGAAGGATACAAAGAGAAGAAGGAGACCGTGTGTATAATGCATGTATTGAGTACACTTTCGATAATGAAACAATATATTATACATTAAAACAAAAAAATAAAATGACCCACTAATGACTCTTCATTTTTTAATATATTAATATTCTTTTATAAAAAAATATGTAAAATTATATACTTATATATTATATATAATATATAAAATATAAAAGTTATATAATATGACCGGAGTTGGAAAATCCACGAGACAGAGGAAACTTCCTCGATCCCTGCCTCAAAGTATCATCGAGAGACTTTTCCCACCATCCCTATCGCCGCAGAAAAAAAATCTCCAACTTAGAAACTCCGAATAGATAATCTCTACGAACATCCCCGTTAATAGATTAATAGATCCCCGTTAATAGATGTAAATTGACATCCCTATGTAGACCTCTAACTGTCGTGGTTCATGCTGATCACATAATGGAAGTATTAAGACTTTCGATTGACAAGCATTTTGTTCAATGTCTAGTTTAGCTTGAAAATGAAAATAAACAAGAAAAAATGAAAATAAACAAAAAATGAAACTTTAATTATGTGCCTTCATAATTTAGATGAAGCATTGTAAAATGAATACAACAGCCATAAGAAAGAACAGCCAAAGGGTTACAAAAGAACCTAGAATATACAAAAACCAGAAAGAAAGATATTGTTTTCTGAAAGCAGGGGTCATAGAGCTGGCATGGAAAGGGCATAACTTATAAATATCTCCTCACATTCTGGGATAACAAAGAACTTGACATTTTACGCAAAGGCAACCTTCCAGCCATTGGTTTCTGCCACCCGTATCTATCTAGGAATTCTTCAATCAGCCTAACAAAATCAAATTGATAAATATTTATATAGTTTAGCAATAAAACGGGCAAAGCAATAGACTAAGTAATACTCACATGCTACAAATGGCTTTTTGAGATGAAGCCAACTCTTGGTCTGGGAAAGAATCTTCCAATCTAAAACTCAACCAAACATAGAGATCCAAGACCTGCAATTTTGGGACCAATAAAAACTCACAAATATACTGAGAAGCTAATTAGTTAAAAATGAATTAAAAAAGACTTTATCAACATTTTCCATCAAACTAAAGGAAGGAAAATACTGGGCAAGTCTGTTTGGTGCTGATGGTTGTTAAAATGGAGGCTGAAGTTATTAAATTGTACACGACCATGACTGTTTATTAGGCTTTGATAATTAGGCGTGTGTTTGACTTTTGATGTGCATATGTTCCAAATCTCTTGGAAGTGAAAGCTAATATAGGGTTTTGTTGGTGAGAATGGGTGTTAAAGGATATAAAACTAAAGCAACAGAAAGAAAAAAAACCTTGTGGATGGATTCCAGATCCTTAAGAGCAGAAGGAGTCTTTGGTACTTTAAGTGTTCCTGGTGTAAATATTTCTCGAAGCCGGACAAGACCTTTCTTTGCATAATTCTCTGCAAACTGGTGCAACATGCATCATGTCATTTTTATGACTATTCAAACTAGTAACACCAACATGTTTGATAATTGCTAAATGTTAATTACCTGTGTCAGGCCTTGAGATGAAATCTCGTCATCCATGTCAACTGGACTGAATATTATAGGTATCAGTTGAAAAGTAACTGAAAAGGTTAAATGATATAAAATACAGATAACCTAATTTAATAGGGTTTCAATTCATAGAACGTCCTTAGGACTAGGGGATTACACCATAAAAATGGAATTTTCTGAAAGGATATGAATGTACCTGATGCAAAAAAGGTATTTATCACGTAATCCAAGGGGAAACTCGTCAATAACAGCAGCTACTTGCTGGTGCCAGCGCGTACAAACAACACCCCAAAATCAAATAGAAAGGAGATCAGTAAAAAATCAAATAAAGGAGGGATATTTGATAAATGATGTTACTTATGAAGAACAATATGGCATTGATATGAAATATTCATGATTCAATGACAAGGCAGCTATAGAAATACATACATACCAATACTTGTTCACAATTAACAAAGAAATACTTTTCAGATAATTTGGCGTTGTCAATAAAATGCTCCTGCAATATAAAAGAGATAGATAAATACATTTTTTTTTGGATATAATGTGATGCGATAATACATTTTAATGTTGAGAAATGTAAGGAAATTCAACATATTTAGTAACTATTAATCACATAT